AATTCTACCCTCTTACAAAGGTGGAGAATTGGTGGAGTATTTTAACAGGTGACAAATCCAGGTGCTTCTGAGTGTAGTAAGAGATATACCAGATAGCTTTATGTGCTAAACAAGAGCCTAGTCACAGTATTTTATTACTGAGGGAAAAAAAAGGTCTTGATTTTAGAAGCTAAGTTTGGATCAATCATGCTAAGGCTTTATATAATTATGATTGTAATGAGAGGTAAAAATAGATCAAAAATGCAGGTTTTCTCTTCATTAAATGACAGATTTGGTTGCCCTAAGGGCAATAGTTAATATAATTACTCAGAATTACTGTGATTGAGGAACACAGTCTGTGGTATAGATGAAGAATGGGATTTCCTCTGAGTTCAGCCATTTTGGTAGGAGTTTGTATAAGGAAAAAATTGTGGTTTTGACCTAGGAAGACTGATATATCTCATGCTTCTGGACTTTGACAAAATTTCTATTTTTTTAACAAGAGTGAGGTTAATAAGACTGTTAAAATTCTAAGACAGGTAAAGAACAGATTGAAAGAAAATGGCAGTGGATGGTTTTGAAAGACAATGTATAAAAAGCTACAAGTAGAGATCCTGAATATTAATTTTGTTTTATCATTAAGTATTTTGAAACAGAATCCAAGTATGTTCTGATAAACAAATGAGGGAGATCAGCCACTGAATTCACTGGGGAGCAGAATAATAAAACTGAAAGGATATTTAGTTGTAGAAAATGCAAGGTCATGAATGAGAAATATTGAAGCTGGAGGCTGTTAATTGGAAATGACTGTCAGTCACAATCTAAGAGATTTTTTGGTTTAAAATGCTGTGCAGACAGCTGATGGCATACTTTAACCTAGAAATAAATGAGAGAAATACAAAGTGTTGGTATACTCAGAGCAGACTAACTTCTAAAGATCTATGTGTGTGTTTTAAAAAACATTATTTGTAATTTGGACTGTTGAATACATAATTCTACAGCAGCTTCTGCATGTAGCAAGTGTTTCTTGCTGGCTGATATGCTGTGTACTCATGCAAATGACAGCATGCATGCAACTTTGGAGAACGTGGTTTGTGACAGAACTGTCAGTGTGCTGATTAAAGAGACATTATTTCCTTTTGTTTACACATTGAAAGCAGTATTATAAGTTTTCTTGTAAGTTCTTGTGTTAGTGTCCCTGTATCCAGGCTTTGTCATCCTTGAAGAGACATCTTTTGAAGCAGCAGCCATTGCCAGCAGCAATTAATAGAAGAAAGCAAGCTGAGCCTTCTCCATTTGTCGGGATTTAGGGTCTTTTCCTCCATGTGCCACAGGCCAGCTTCAAATTCTTCTAATTTAAACTTACTCTAAGTCCAGCACGGTCTGGGTTTGGGTCAGGACATGGAACTGCAGCAGCCTAGTGACACAGATAGATGATCTCCTACTGTCAGTGGATAAAGGGCAGTCATTAATTTTCATTCTCTTGGCCTTTTCTTCAATGTTTGATGCATCTGGCCAGAGGCTGGTGCTTTCTTGCTAGGAGGGAGCAGCAGGGTCCAAAGTAAAGCACTCCTGTGACTTGGCCTTGTCTTAGGTGATCCATCTAGAGAGTGGTGACATGCTCGTGGTTTTGAAATGTTGCCAATCATAAAAGGAAATTAAGAAATTGAAAATCATATCTGCAGCAGGATTTCGTTGTTGCCTCTGCGTCAGCGAGCATATTAGAGATGCTAATTGCTATTCGGATTTGGGTAATGCTTATTTGTGTGGGAGGGCAGCACTTTCACAGGACTGAATTCCAGGCTGTGTAATGAAGTCCCTTCGGAATGGAGAGCTGCTATGTATTTTGTGCTTAGAGTTGATGATGGAATTTCTTATATTTGGCATTCTTTAATGTGATAATACAGACAGTGGCGTATTTAAAAAGGAAAATGGATAAAAAGCAGCGATGGCAGCACTGTGTCGAAATAAATAATCTTCTTTGATATAGCCTGTCTGAAGAAATACTGCAGGGCAAAGAAAGCTCCTAGAGGAGCCGAATTTTTAAGCTTCCTTTGAAACAATATTTCTAATCCATTTGCTACTTGTAGATTTTTTTTCAGAAAATTACTTGTGTGTTGAACTCAAGCTCAGAAGATAGGATCTTAAACTTTGAGGAACCTGTGTTATATTTTTATACTATACTTAAGGTTTTAAAACTCCTATAAAGCACAAAATTAACATATGTAAGCTTACTGCTGAGGTGGTTGCTGTCATTTTGGCTGAGAGAAAGAAGTTAAACATAGATAAAGCACATCACAATTGAAGTCGGAGGCAAAACTTCTGTGAATACATAGGCAATCAATTTTATGGTAAATATGTTTTGGCAAGCACTACACCATGTCTAGTGAGATACTGTGTTGGGGGAGTGTTTTCAAATCCAGTTTTGTGAATCTTAATATTTTGGAGAAGGCAGAGGCCACATGTTCCAGTGGGTACAGTGTTGGATTTGGAGACTGGGAAATGCGGTTCTGTTCTTCTTCCTTAATCTCAATGACCATAGATTGATGGACACCAAGTAATTTACCATGTTTTATGCATTATGTAATAATTTCCTGAAATGTACTTTCAAATTCAATGATGAAAAATGCTGATCATCTACATAAAGGAGAATCCTCTGTTTTAAATTTAGGATTTTCAGTGTAGCTTATGTCAGTTTCAAAATTGTGTAAAAACCAAAAACCTATCACCACCACCGAAAAAAACTCAACTGAAAATGGAAGTCTAATAAAATAGTTCTTTTAGCTTTTGTTTGGGGCCCAACTGATGTGGACTGCATGATACAGGATATATGTGTAGGCAAATGAGCCTTTAATACAGTTGCTTTTATTTGGGTATGCAAAAATTAATTGATTTCTGAAAACTATTTGATGGTTGACATTTTTTAAAGTTTAAAAATTGAAGTTATTAATACTCAGGTAGGTGATCTGGAGATCTGTTTGTCTAATGTCAAGAACTATCACTCTGCTAATGAAATTTTCATCCTGTTTTCTGAATTATCATGTTAATAATAATGTCCAGTTAGAATTAATAACAGGTCTTGCCTCGGGATCAGAAGTGAATGAAACGTAGCTTCTAATGAAACTTTTGATTTTACCATTTCTATGACTAGATATTTTATCTGCTTGTGATTAATCTGCATGGATGCTGTGACCCTCTATTTTTCAGAATTTCTTGGTTTGTAGTGATTTGTACTGACAGTTCTGAGAGATGATGTTTGTAGCTCACACATGATTCTCTACTTCCATGTATAGTTTTCAGAGGTGAATGAGCAGTTCTGTTATTGCTCTTACTGCTGCTCTGCCATTGTTATTTTATTCACTTGTCTGGTTTTACATTCGGTTTGAGCCATCTGATGTAGGACCATGTCATCTTGTGTACTTGCCCAGAATCTAAAACAATGGGGCCTGGTTACTAATTGGAGCTTTTGGGTGCTCACACAATAGAGGTAATTAGTAATAAATGTACAGCTGTAATAGCAAGTAGTGTTCACAGTGGGCAGTGCAATGCATGACAGTTAAGTTCCTGTGTTCTGTCTCTAGCGAATGTGTTTGAGAAATCATCTCTCTTCTTTCTTTGCTTTTGTGATGTTGCCCAGAGGCGTGTTCTCTATTCTGGTGTAAGTGCTTATCTGCTAATACCTTAATTAACTTCTTAAAATATAAATGGCCATGGTACATTGAAATAATATTCAGAAATGTACTGTTCAGCAGTCTACAAGATTGCTCCATGATGCTTGTCATGTCATCTGGAGAAAACTTTAAACCTGACATTAAGAACATGAACTTAAGCTTTTTGAGTGAAACAAGTGAACAAAAAATGTCAACCAACCAACCAGCTCAAATCCCTCATTAATTGATAAATTCAAGTTCACCAAAACCTTGTGTATCTCTAGCTTCTTGCACGTTTTCAATTATTAGTTGCTCATAGAACACTTCTGTTTGTCAGTCCATCCTTGACCAAATTCTTTTCTGTCTTATGTTGATAGTAATTAGAATTTTGATAAATTGTGTTGTTTGGACCACATTCAGAGTTTTATTTCAACAATTTATTAAATTGGGAGAGTAGGGGAGTTTTCAGCCATTCAGCTAAAAAGAACTCAAAAAAACCTACTTTCAAAATGAGACATATCTGGATCAGTTTAATGTCTTTCTCAAGCAGAGAACTTGTTCAGATTCTAAGTTACACGGTATATTACCATGAGACCCAGACAGATGGGTCTACATTCATTGTCTCTTGTGTCTTCAAAGTCAGCATGTGCTCTTTCTCAGCATCTCTCTGAAGTAAGATACAGAATCATAGAAATCATAGGATCATAGAATGATTTGGGTTGGAAGGGACCACCCAGATCATCTAGTTATGAAGCAATATGGCATGCAGAGAGGTATGCATAACAAAAACTTTGTTTCCATATGGAATGCCTGTGAAAATTTTCTGTAGGCTTTAAGAGGTCTATTACATGGACTCAGTTGAAGAATTGTAGTCCTGAAGTGTTTGTCCATGTGAAAGGAAAATTCAAGGTGTGGTCTGGTTTAACTCCTGTAGAAACTGAGCCCACACATCCTGTAGCAGGATGGGGGAAAGAATCAAAAGGGTGAAAGTGAGAAAGATCAGCAGTTGAAATAAATATAAGGGAAAATAAGGAATTTTTACTGCTTCCCATTTGCTGGCAGGTATTTAGTAATTTCCAGGAAAGCTGAACTTCATGAAACAAAACAGTGACTTGGGAAGAAAAACACCGTAACTCCAAATGTCCCCTCCTTCCTCCTCTTTCTCCCATTTTTTATTGCTAAGAACAACATCATGTGGTCTGGGATATCCCTTTGGTTAGTTTACAGGTTTAAACTTTAAAATGTAAGAAAAAGCCTTTTAATTTTTTTTAAATAGTATCTGTCATGATTACTCGTTTTTAAAACTTAATTTAGAGATTAGAGATTTTGAGGACATACCTGTAATTATATCATCTTACAATACCTTTGCAGGTACATGATGCTGATTGATGGCAAGAATGAAGTTTATATGATTGATAGAGACAATTCCATTTTTCATGTATCCAACCTGGAATTTCCGTTTCGTAAAGATCTTCGCACACATCTAACAAACACTCTTCTAGACGGGGTAAGGAGCATATTGTATAATGGTTGTAACAATTTCAGTGCTGTTTGCTTTTGTTCATAAACAGGCCCAAATTTTTAGGCCTGGATCGGTGAATCATAGGGTTTCAGGAGGAATATAAGTTCAGTCACTGGCTGAATGTGGGAGTTGCATTTTGTAAGAAATGACTTATCTACAGAATAGGACTGATGACTGCTCTGGGGGGAGCTGTTTGTCTTTGAAATATATCAAGGTATTGAGATGACTCTCTGAATATGAGAAAAGGCTTAAAGAGAATCTAAGAAAATTATTGCAGAACTTTGTCTCTTGCTACAGCTATTTTGAAGTAGTAAACATGGTCAATTTTATACAGCTGATTGAAATACTTCGAAAATTTGATAAAATTTTCATCATGTTTTGATACACTTTTGTGAATTAATGTCTTTGTTTCTGTCACCTTTAATTTCAGCTGATCTGAATTCTGGAATGATTTAGAAATGGCTTAGTTGTATTTGTTTAAGACTAAAACATTTCTAAATTGCTATGCTAATTTAAATTATATAAACTTGCTAATGAACTTTTTGAGCCAGTGTAAAACAAGCTGTAAAACTTATGGGTTTGTGTTTTGAAGGCTGGGCTGGACTGTTGGTGGCAAACTTTTCAGAACCGTAGCCACAAGAAGAAATTATTTATTTCTTGACTGTCCTATTTCACATGACCAAGAGAATTTCACTAGCTCTTACACTAATGGGTCAGTGCAGTTTCCTATCATGTTTCAGTAGTATTGGAGACTACATTGCTGTAACTCCTGCTTGATGAAGTATTTTTGTATCTGAGATAGCTTCCATATTGATCCTCTGAAGCCTAATGCTCTTTTCAGCCATATTGTCTTTATTAACTTTCTTTCCTTTCTCTGGCCTTTGTTGTCAGTATTCCACTTGAAATGTCACTTCCGTGAATGGTGTGTCTTACTGAACACACATTTACATGTGAAGCATGTATAAATTGAATCTGCGAGGATAATTACTGCAAGGAACAATATACTGTCTCAGGGACAAAGAAGCAGATAATGGAGTATTTCCCACCACCTCTGCTTCACTGAAAAATTGAGAGCATAATGCAAGAAATGCCGTGCTGTCAGCTCAGAAGTGGTTGCACAAGCTGTCGTGTCTGGTAGGAGCCTCTTCAGCCAGGCAGCTTTCTAATGATATACATAATATTATTCTAAATGACATACATTAGGTTACATACTTTGGAAATAAAAAGCCTGGTATTGCTGTTTTTTTTCCCTCTGCTACTTCCAAGGCTCTTGAGAAAGTAATGACTTGGTAGTGTCCATATAGTGTTCTTGAGGGAAATGGCTGCTCTTTCTTTTATTTATTTAATTATTCTCTTTATTTCAAAACAGATGTTTCAGTAAAGGTGGCTGATATGTACATGGTGAAAGACAAGGATATTGAGATAAGTGCATAATGTAGCTGTGGGGCATGGAAGAAGGTCTCTGATCTGGTGTCTTGTGTTCCCCAGATTTATAGTTTAGGTCTCTTAAGAATAACTAAAGTTTCTCAGGTAACCAGGGCATTGAACTATAACTTTGCATAATTTGTTGTTCTGTAAAAGTTTGACTGTTAATAGTGCATTTTGGTGTTTCACTTTATTGGCATAAAATCAGTCTTAGTGTGATTTTTTTTTTTTTCCTCCCACACTTTTTTTAAAATAAAGTGAAAAGCAAAATGACATGAAATGAACAAGTACTGATTTAATTAAGTACCCTGAGATAAAACTAAAACCTTTCAATGGATACTTTTCATAGTACAGATTTCTAAATTTATTTTGGTATGGTCAGTTAAATAAAAAGCTGTTGCTGGAATATTTTTTTTTCAATTGAAATTCCTTTAACAGGTTTGAGGATAAGACCTGCCCATTATTTGAAGTATCAGAAGATCTTAACTTTGTAGTTGAATATTTGTTTAATGTTGATGACAAATGAAAATTTCCATGAATGATTCTTTACTCTAAATATATGCATGATTGATTTTATTTTTTAAATCCATGGGAAGAAGTTGGCTTTTTCTGCCTTAACATATTTTGCTAATTAATGCTTGAAGGGCTATTGAAGTTAATTCTTTAATTAGAGGCTGAAGTAGTTCATACTTACTGTCCTTGAAATAGCCTTCTTTCTTTCAGGGAATGAAAGTATAGATTGAGGTGGTCCAATTGGTATTGCTTTACAGTATTCTTAAAAAATATGAGAAAAAAGGAATGAGAAAACAGAAATATCAGTGCCATGCAGCAAACAACTACTGGGTTTAAAAATACAAAAGATTAATGTCCCCCTAACATTATTTAGAATGACAGTATACATGAAACTTTCATAAAAGCAATTTTTGTGCATTGAGGGATCTATTAACTTGCTTTAAGGCCTCTGATGTAAGCCTTTCATGTGGTTGTCTTTGAGAATTTCAGATGCATTGAGAATTTCAGATGCAGTTGTGGTTCACTTCAGGCTGAAATTACTTTCAAACAGTTCTTACATGATTAGTTACATCTTGGGTGATGACAGATCTGCAACACTGTGCTCATCTCCAGCTTTTCAGTTGCAATTGTTCTCCTGTCATGGAAGAAAGTTTTCTGCAAAGCTCATTAAAGCTAATTTAAATTTCACCTATAGGTGGCTAGTATGACTTATTCCTTTAGATGCCAAGTGTTTTGCATCCATAGTGCTATCTGAGGGAATACGTCGAGTTTTGCTAAAATGTTTTGGCTGTCATGCAAAAAACTAAATAGCTATTTTCAGGAGCTTTCATGGCATTCTGCTTAGCTTTGGGACAGTTAAGTAGAAAATGCAGAGGCATCCTTAGGCCTGAAATAACTTTTACAGTTTTAATACTATTTTGAAATCTTTAAAATTATTTCATTTTTATATAAAATACTGTTCACACAGTAGGGCCAGGAACTCCATAAACAGAGAGCGAGATAAAGATTCATCTATGTTTTTGTATCAGTAGAGACTTTACCTGTTAGTAAGCTGTCTCAGAAATTGCAGAACTTAAAACGTTTTGAGTTTGCAAAAGCTGGTGCAAAATAGATTTATGCAAAGTAGATTTTAGAAAAAAGGCAAGAAAAAAACCTATTTTCATTCCTGAAATGCAGTGGTGGCTAGAACTGTGTTAAAGATAAATGGATAAAGGATTAACAAAAGACACAGGAGGAAAAGGAACAGCAAACAGATGTATTATTACATACTCTGCCACTAAAACCACATTCTGCAAGTAGCTGGTAAAATTGGATCTTTTGCTTTTGTGATTGAATTTTGGATTATTTTAAGTCCAAGTTACTCTCTAGAGATGTGATTCAAGGAGAAAAGTCCATGAGCTCCCAGTCCAGCATCATTCTTCTGGTATTTGTCCAGCAAAAAGCTCTTAGCACAGTTGCAGGTCTAATGTACTGTATTAACTGTACTTTGCAACACCAGAGATTGAGGAGAGTAACACCAGCACAGTGTTGCTAGATTACATTGCATTAATTGATCACTGGACCATGTTCTTCAGGTTCATGGGTTAAGTGGATACCTAAACCAGCAGTCAATGGACAAGTGCTAATAGCAGAGGTAATTTTAAAACACGCAATACTGGCTGTAAATCTACATGGAGTCTGTAGAATGGATGCAGGTGTGCCTTATGGATACTTTTATGTTAACATGTCATGTGAGTGGATTTGGTATTAAGTTTTTAGTTATTTTAAAATTGGCTTAAATGTAGCCATATAGGTTATTACTCAGGTCAGAACGAGTGAGTTTAATTGTGGTCATTTCTCAAACACTGTTTTTTCCCATTTTCTCTGAAGTTGTCTTTGGGGTCTATTCCCTGGTGTATTTTTCAATTCTGATAATTTCAAGGAAGATTCTGAAATCACACTGTAAAATAATGATGTGTTAGAGCATTTCTAATCTGAACCATTCTTATGCTCACTTTACAGCTTTTGCCTTATGACAGTTGTATTGGCGTAACTAATGGAGCAGGGAATGTTGTTGTCATGATGGAGATGAGCAGTGCAGGAATTTGTCATCTCATCTTCTAAGGCATATTGTGCTATTGTTTTTTGCTCTGGTAGCTGGGATTTCAGTCAGGCTGTCAAAGAGAACAGGAGGCAGGGAAGGAAGAAAAGAAGGGAGAAGATGAGGAAAAAGACTTGTTTGATCAGTAATAGAATAAAAATGTTTACGTGTCTGAAGTAGAGAAAAAGTTAAAAATAAACACTTCAAAGGATGTTTAAAAACAGTTCTTGGACCTCTTTATTGTATTTTATAATCCTTTTTAAACTGAATATGCAGAGATTCAGATTTTTAAAATTAGGCATAAAATCTTGTAATACCAGGCATTGAAGTGTTTTCAGGGTTTTGCCTACAAATGCTAGCTTTGCATCAAAGCTGAGGTTCTGAATATGTATACTGAGAAAGTGAGTCCTTAAACCCTAAATATGTGCTCAATTAAATGTTTCCAAAAAGTTATTCCACCTGCCAGTTCAACTGAGCATTAATGAAAAACAACTGCATTATTTTGTTTCACTGTTACTTTTTTTTGTTTGTTTCACCTGATTACTATCAGGAATTTCAGGTGGGGTTTTTTTATCCTGTTTTTTTTTCCCCCTTGCATTATATCTTTACACCCTTTTCCAAGTTTGCATATCACGCCTTCTGTCTCTTGAGTCGTACCCATCTGTTCTTGTAGTTAGTTATAAAATTTATTGTCAAAGAAGTCATTGCAGCATTGTGTCTGCTGTTCCTTTGAGAGCTCACCAGTGTCCTACCTAAATACTGGACACTAGTGGAGTGGCATTTTGCTACATCACTTCTATGTGACCTTTTTTGCACATGTTATTTGACAGTGCCTGTGACTAAATTTTTAGAGGTAAGATATTGTAATACTGCAAAGGAGTAGTTTTCACTCACTGGATTAATTTTTTTTTCATTTTTTTAAATTACATGTAATGATGTGTAAGGTCAACTCAGGCAGTCATTCACAGCACCTTTGAATGCTGCAAATGGCTTTGAAGTCCCAATCTCCGTCTCAGTGTTGTGCTCACGGAAGATGGGATTCCAAAATATTAAGTAGGCAACTTAGATTTCCAGTGTTTTTTGAGAACAATAGGTTCATGTCTTCTAGTTTAGTTTTAAATGCTTCAAGCTTTGTGTTTGCTTTAAAACAAATCAGTGTTTTTACAACTGAACTACTTGCTTATTTCTCAAAGCAAATTGTGGTTAGATGCTGGGTACAATTCAAGAATCTTGTTATTGTTGTACAGACTGAAAATTAATCTTACATGAGTCAATCAGACGTTTTTGGGTTTATTTTGTATAATCTATAGATTCTGGGAGAAATTTAAAGGTTGTAAGACTTAAAAATAGCAAGGCATTAACTAAACAAAATTAATTTGAGTTGACGTAATGTTCGTTTTTGGAACAATTCTTGAGCTACTGATTTTGTTTTCATCATGTCATAGGGAACTGTTTTCATGTTTTTCAATTGTTTTATCTTATTTGTATGAATTTGGAATTTTAACTTTTAGTGTTTTAAAATATTTTAAAAACAATCTGTAGCTGATACAACTTAATAGCCAAGATTTCAGGTAGGAGAAGGAGGTAGGGAGAAGATGGATTGCATTTAGAGAAGTGGTTATTTCAGAGTTGTCCCTGGAAGAGATCTACCAGTGGTTGGTTGTTGCCATTTTCAATCTTCCTTGTTGGTTCATCAGACTCCATATGGTATGTCTAATTCCTGTCATAGGAAGCCTGAGTTACAGATGTAAGCACCACCGTGTAAGGTATATGTATTTTTGTATGTACCATTAAGTTCAGGAAACACTTGTGTGTTTGGATGTTGATCATTAATGTTCTTCCCTATCTGACCTATTTTGTGATTTTGTGATTTGCTGGTACATATTGAATGTTAACTGACTTCATGTGATGCAGAGAGTGTCTGTGGTATTTCTGTCTGAAGGAGCCATCCTGTTCAGTCACAGTGCAACGTTCAAGCAAATTGCAGCTCTCGCTGCTGCCTAGAACGCTGTTAAAATGAAAACATCCAACTTGAGCATAGAAAATGAATGTGAATGCTTGTTCTTTACATCCTCACTGTTTTGTACTTCTGACTGTGGGCAAGATTTCCAGTAGTGCTTGCTTGGCTTAGGATCACAGTTCTTACAGAGGTTTCTAAAAACTCATTATTCTCTCAAGATTTTGAAAGCTGTGGGGAAACTAATGTATTAATGTTGCAAATCAGAATGGGAAGCCCTAGCACAGCTTCCTGGTGTTTTGTTGAATGCTTCATGAGAGACCATAATAATATTTTTATAATCTTGACCTGTTGTAAAATATTTTTTGTAATAAAGACGTGGCCAGTGTTTGATTGCATCGTGCAGATATATGCACTAAGTATAATTGTGTCAACATTTTTCTTTTATATTTATGGAAAAAATGCCAATGCTTTCTCTTTTCTTTTAAGGAAATGATCATCGACAAGGTTAATGGACAGGTTGTCCCTCGGTACTTGATATATGACATTATTAAGTTTAATGTAAGTACTTTCAGTTTTATTGCTTTTCATTAGCTATTAATTCTTACTTCAGTTTAATCTTATTTATATAAGTAAGAGCTTCAGAGTAAATATAAACACCAAAAGCATTTGAGTATTTTGCATCTTGGTAACAAGCAATGCATTAGAATTTAGATTGAAAGTAGCCTTACAATACATGTTGATTTGTTTCCACTTGCTCAAGAAAAAAATGGCCATTTGAAAGAGTCTGCTAGACATTGTTGGAAAATTTCCCATTTCTAGAGCATGTTTGAACTAGGCAGTGAAATCAAGAGGGGATGGAGGAGTTAGCCTGGTCTATTTGTTACCAGAGCTTCACAGTACTTGTTAGGCTGCTCTGTCACCTCCTTAAATTTCTGTTTGAAACCAGGAAGCTGGTCCTCTGCTAAGTCCTCAACAGCAGGGTCTCCTGGTGGCACAGGCTGTAGGGAAAATGGAGAATAAGGAAATACATTGTAGAAGTTGTGGAAAAGAAGAATAGAGTCTAGGAATAAAGTCTTGGTGATCACAAGAAAGAGTTGTTAAGCAGTACTGTAAATAGGAGACTTGTTTTCTATAAAACCAGCTTTCAAATAAAGTAAAGGTTTGAATATCACCAAGGGGCTCTTGCTGGTGTCATTTACAGGCTTCTTTTGTTTTGTTTTCTTCATAGTAGCTCATATGGTATTGTGTTTTGGATTTGCAAATCAGCATGGAATAGTGCTGATAACACAGGAATGTTCTGTTATTGTTGAGCAGCACTTACACAGCTTCAATCCCTTTTCTATTTCACCCTACTGCACCAGTGAGTAAGCTTGGGGTGCACAAGGAGTAGGGAAGGGGACACAGCCGAGACAGCTGACTCCAACTGACCAAAGGGACATTCCTTGCCATGTGATTTTGTACTGTGCATATAAAGCTGGGGGAACAAGGATGTTCGTAGTGGTGGCATTTGCCTTCCCAAGTCACCATTATATGTGATGGAGCCTGGCTGCCCTGAGGATGGCTGAACAGCCGCCTGCCCATGGGAAGAGACTGACTTCTTTGCTTTGCTTTTTTTTGCATGTGCAGCTTTTGCTATAGCTTTGAAATTCTCTTTATCTCAAACCTTGAGTTTCCTCACTTATACCCTTTCGATTCTCTCCCCCCATGTTATTCCAGGGGAGTGAGTAGCTGCAGAAGTCTCTCAGAAAACCTACATAGTGTTGTTAAACCACAACAATGTGTAAAATTCAGTCAAAATAGCCCATGGAGAAAACGCTAGTATCTGTTAATGCTTCTGGAAAAACAAAATTATTGTTTCAGGGCTCCTAATAGGACAAAAACAATATTAGTAAACCACAGAACATTTCAGCCTTTCTAAACTACAGTTGACTCTTCCAGTCCTGAGTAAGGTACTACTCAGCTCAGTCACTCAGTGTAAGTGGGAATTGCAAGTGTAGGCATGGTACCAGTTGCTAGAAATTACTTAGGTATTCTTGGAAGCACAGTCATACTGTGACTTAGGATAGCTGCTTTTAAAAGGAGTGGTTTGTGGGGAAGATGTGTTAGATTAGGACTAGAAGCTTTTTGTTAACACATTTTAGTTCTGTATCTGGATGTCCTTTCTCTAGCCTTTTCTGAATCTGGATCCCTCGTACCATTAAGACTTTTCCCTAAGCAAGAATTCCATGTACTCTTCTGAAAAATAGTCTTCTATAACCACTTGTGGGTTCTCATTTTTTCTTTACATTTTCTTACCTACTGCTCCACCTGTGGTTCTGTGTTTATTTACCTTCATGTCTTGCCTTGTCTCTGCTGTCCTTTAGAGTCTAACCTGCCATTCACTGCTGTTACACTTCCTTTGAAGTAAACATGTAATGTAAGAAGTGTACAGTCATTCAGTTTGGGATATGCATATACTAGCAAAATAGCACTTTCCAAAACTCATAATTGTTAAGCTTTGTTTTGTGGTGGAAGGGGAGGAAACCCTCATTTGTAGTGAAGTGTCCAGACTTAACATGATGAATCCATTTGGCACACAGGAAAAATGATAAGTAGGTTTCCAGAGGATTGTCAATGTTTAGGCAAAGTCTGCTTTTGTGTGGTGTTTGGTTTTGTTTGTTTTCTAAGCGCCTTGGGAATGAGAGAGGAGCTAGTTACTATGTAATACTTTTTTAAAGTCAAGGACAAATTAAGATAATGTTATCAGTATGAGTACAAGCAGAGCTTTAGCTGTGAGAAGTCATTAGCAGTGGCCCTACTGTAAAGATTTAAAAGCACAGCTGTTTTTAAGTTAATTTTAGAAGCTTAATTATAGAAATGGGCACCCAAGGATGTTTGGCTTGGCAAGAAAAGAATTTTATCACCAAGAGAGGTAAATGTAATATAACTTGTAAATGGCAAGAAAGAGTAAGTTCCTATGTAAGTTGTGTTAGTTTTTTTAATTTTTTTTAGCAAGTCTTTAAATAAAATAATTACACAAAGCACTGGTCCTGTTCAAAAACAGAACATTCCTTCCCCCTCTTCCAAACAAACAGCACTCCACTCCAAAAATTCCCCAAAACAGATGTTGCTGTGGAATTTGGCATTGTTTTGATCTGGAAAGTAGTTGAGTCTTGAAGGTGAATGATGGAGTTACTGTACTTGCTGTCCATCATGAGTTACAAGATTTACAGCATGTCCCCTATCTGACCCTGTGCATGACTCGGCTTACTCTACTCTTGGAGATGCAGCTTTGCAGCTGGGCAAATGCACATTCAAACCCCATTGATAAACACCTTTGCTCAGGCAAACTTCATGTTTTAGTCAGGTCTCATGAACTAAGATATTTTTAGCTGAGCTTATTTGCAAATGCTATTATTTTGCTAGCTAAGCATTGCAGAGTTTTCTGGCTTTGTCAGAATATTCCTTCTGAAATATTGCATTCAAAATGCAGAGAAAGTGAGTGGATAAGGACCTACCTGTTACAGATTTTAATCCATGTTGTTATTGGTGAGGTTTATTGTTTCTTGCTTTTTGACTTTGCTGTAGTGTGTCAGGAATAAACTATAGCAGCATTCTAGAAAGAAACAAAGGAAACTAAGCAAATAGACTGATTGACATACATAGTGTGTATTTGGCTCTAGATGTCTATACAGGAAAGTCTTAGGAGGAAGGAAACATAAAAATTAACTTGCAGTGATTTGGAGAAAACTGTACTTGAGTTCTTAAGCAAAACATGTCAGTTGTTTCAGTTGTCTCTTTCCATTATAAGTTTTGTATTGAATTTTGATGCTTATCATGTATAGCTGCTGCAAAAGTCTGTCTTCGAGATGCTGATGGAATCCTTTCTTTTAGTTACTGTTTCTGTGACATCTAGTTTCTAAAAGCTTGTAATATATCCCATTTTGTTGCAAGAGATGTTTGTGTCAAAAACAAATGATTCTTCAGTTTTAAAAAGATTTTTTTATTGTAGTTTTCTTCAGTCTGAAGCATGGTGTTTATTGTTTTTAATAACGACTCAAAATATGACATTGCTGTCTCACTGCTTTCATCCCACCTGCTCAAATCAAATTCATAGGAAGAAAGCTGTATCCTAGTGAAATAAACGTGCCTTTTGACCTTTGTGAGCTCCACACACAAGAAATCTGGATTTTTCATATTCCTCTGAACATAAAAGGCTAATAAGACCCAACATTCCTTACGGTGTTTAGTCTTAATGAATACAGAGCTAAATCCCTACAGTGCATGTTGCTTTTCAGCTTCTTGATTTGCATACATTTTTGTATGTAGTTGAGTTCATCATTATAGTAACTGCAGCTACAATTTCAGATTTGGTGGATAATTCTAATATAGTAGAAGAAGCTGATAGTAGAATAATGAATAGCCCCAGAAGCAAATGCAGGCAAATCCAAATCCCTTTTCATCTGAAACCGTCCACAAAAGGATGTGTCTTCATTCTCCAGTCATCTTGGAGGCAGCTCTTCCTGAAAAACCTTGTTTTGAGAAGCTTTTTCTTAGATAATATTCAGTAGCTACTTGTAAATGCATGGACACTAAACTTAAGTGACTATTTTTTTCCTTAGTTAGGTAACAAAAAGTAACACTGGCATGATATAGGATCTAATTAATGCATTCTTCACAAAGATGCTGAAAATGAGTACAACTTTCCTTTTCCTTTCTAACCCTGGCCTTTAAATTTTTAAACTCTAGCCAAGTTTTTGTGAGACCAGATTGCAATGGTAAGAATAGACTGAATGCCTGAAAAAGATTAATTATTTAAATGCTTAGAAAGGAGATAGAATTTTGATTAAATTTCCTAATACTTTGTGCATTGAATTAAGTCAAGATCAAGATTTCTTTGGTTGTCATTATGCGTAGCAATGCTGTTGCTATTGATAAAATTTGTCATTGTAAACAAATATGCTGGTCATAAATCCTGCCCACAGCCAATGTGCTCATTGAATTAATGCATGAAAAATGTTTATTTTAAATCCCTGTAAAATATTACCATGTCTGACTTTTTTGTTATAAACCTCATTTTAAAGCAATGTGAGGCTCACAGTCCATTCTGTCTCTCACTTATCAGCCTATTAGCCTTTTCTTAAAGTTGTACTGGGAAAGTTTTGAGGGCACAATGCAAAGATGCAGCTGTTTAATTGCATCTCTTCTGTTTAGAAATGCACCTGGCTGCCAGTCACCCTTCTGTCCTTAATTTTAATTCTGAGATTCTTTTTCAAATTATATCACCTGAAAATACAGATCTAAAATGGTTTTGTTACTAATAGTACTCTGGAAAGTAAGGATGCTGTGGGCTTGTTTGCTCTTGCACCCTTTAGATGGTTTCTTGTGAAAACTTATCCAACACCCAAACACTTGTACTGGTGCTCCTGTTGTGTGTTATGTTCTCAGTATATATCATCTCATTCCTTCATAGCTCAGGGCTGTCAGGTAGATGAAATATAGACCATCCACTCAGTTGTGTCTTGTTTTGCTTTCCTGCTCTCAGTCTGGGAGAGGTGCATTAAGTTTGCTTTTTCTTC